ATACAACTATCCACTGGGGCTTTGGGGAAGGAAAAAAAGGAGGAGGATTGGCAATAGATGTTAGCTCAGAGCCGGTCTTCCTCAGCAAAGAGAGGAGGATTAGCACGGATGTTAGCTCAGGGCTGATCTCCCTCACAAAATAAAAAATAAGATAAAAAAACTAAAAAAAAAATACACTAAGATATCGCCTTACGCCTGTTAGAATGGCTATAATCACCAAGACACAAAACAATAAATGCTGGAGAGGCTGTGGAGAAACGGGAACCCTCATTCACTGCTGGTGGGAATGCAAACAGGCGCAGCCTCTATGGAAAACAGTATGGAGATTCCTCAAAAAATTAAAAATAGAAATACCTTATGATCCAGCTCTCGCACTACTGGGAATCTATCCAACGAACCTGAAATCAACAATCCAAAGAGGCTTATGCACCCCTATGTTCATTGCAGCATTATCCACTATAGCCAAGAAGTGGAAGCAACCCAAGTGTCCCTCAACTGATGACTGGATAAAGAAGATGTGGTGTATATACACAATGGAATATTACTCAGCCATAAAAAAAGAAAATCATCCCATTTGCAACAACATGGATGGACATGGAGGGTATTATGTTAAGTGAAATAAGCCAGAGAGAGAAAGACAAACACCACATGATTTCACTCATATGTGGAATATAAACCAACACACAGACAGAGAAAACTGTATGGTGGTTACCAGGGGCTAGGGGGTTGAGGGGTGGGCACAAGGGGTGAAGGGAGGCCATTTATATGGGGACTGACAAACAATAATGTACAATAAAAATTTCACAATGTTATAAACTATTAAGACATCAATTAAAAAAAGTTATCTTTAAAAAAAAAAAAAGAGAGCCTCGGCCCTCTGCTCAGGCTCCTCACACCGCCCTCTAGCGGCTGTCTGGCCAAACTGCAGAGCTGCAGAAGCGCTTATTAAGGAGGGAGGGCTGGGTTCCCATCACCAGTGGGCTCCTGGGTGGTAAAGTGACCTTGGTCTGGGCCGGCACCTGTTTCCAGACACACACAGCTGAATCCTTGTCCAAACTGGGACTCGCTCTGTCTTCAAGGCTTCTACAACCAGCCTCGGCGTCTCCCTGTTAACAGAAATGGAGTGCCCTTGTCCCGGTGCTGACGTTCTCCATTTAATCCTCGCAGCCCCCAGTGACGAAGGTGCTGTTGTGACCCCCATGTTACTGATGAGGAAAACTGAGGAACAGAGATGGAGCAGTGTGCCCGAGGTCTGGTGGTGTGTGCCTGAATGCACTTTCACAAGCCAGTTGTTAAATTTTGGTTGACATGTTAGTAGCCTGAAATCAGACAGCGTGGGAGTATTTACACCATAGAAATCGCAAATGCACACACTGGAGCTTTTCCTCCCAGGAAAGCCGGCTGTTAGACGTTTCTCAGCACACCTCTGCCTGGGTCACCCTGCCAGGGAGGGGTGCAGCCAGAATTTGGACCCTGGTCTTCCTGACTCCTGGGTCCATGACATTCTGCTGCTTCATTTTGTCCAGGTTTTAGAAGTCTCCCTGCCCCAGCGTCTAACCCGGTGGTCCTCCACCTGCACTGCTCATTGGAATTCCACGGGGAGTTTGTAAAAATCCTGATGCCCAGGCGGCACCCCAGACCAATTCAAGCAGACTTTGGGGGTAGGACCCAGGCATCAGCATTTTTAAAGCTCCACAGGAGAGTCCAGTGTGCAGCTATGACTGAGAACCAGTGTCTAACTGGAACTTTCCTGGTCCAAGTCAAGTCTGAGGTCAAGTCTGAGACCTTTTGTTGCAGAGACAGCATGCAGCAGGTCAGCACACCCTCAGGAGGGCTGTGCCCAGCAGCTGAGGTTAGTCACCTCCCTTGCGAAGGGACTCTCTGGACGTTACTTTCGCTTCTGGGGCCACGTAATGGTCAGTCAGACCTGCCTCTTGCCCTGATAGCCTGAGGACCTTGGCACTGCTCTCTATTCCCTGAGGTGGACAGTCCAGGTCACAGTGCCCTTTAGTGGGTCCTGGGGCAAGACAGCCCAGGAGGCGGGCAGGTCTAGCAGGAGCCCCGGCGTGGCTCCAGTTCTGTCCCTGTCACACTTGCCCAGAAGAGCCTGAGGGGACCACAGGGCTGTTTAGAAGGCGTTGGCCCAGAGCAAGAGCCACGGGCGGAGGCTGCACCACGACTTTGATTATTTTGCTGGTGGTTGCTTTGTTTTCTTTCTTTTGGGGGACGTGGCAGGAGAATCTATTTTGCTCAGCCCCTGAAAGAGAGAGGCTCCTGTGTCCACATGAAGCCCTGTGGGTCAAACGCAGAAAGCCGAATACTCTCCGTGACTCTCTGTTGACGCTGATGTTTTCTCTCGGGCAGAAGCTCAGTCGTTCATATTTGCCATCAAAGGTTATTTAACACATGACACGTGTGTGTCCTGTGCTGTTCCTCCACGCAGGCCCACTAAATTGTCCCCAGTCTGAATGAGAAGACAAGTATACAGGACGCACATTTGTCAGCTCACCACAGCTGAAACCAGCCAAGCCGTAGCTCCACATGTAATAAAAATTAAAGACGTTGAAGGGACATGCACTTGGTAACTGTGCCTGCCGTCTTAGCCTCCTTCACATTAGATATTGGAAGCAAGCAAGTGGCATGGGGCACGTTTTAGTTTCCTAACTGGCCATGGAGCATGAGATCGATAAAAGGCACTTCCAGCGGTGGCTGACTCATGCCAGGCGGTACAGAGGAACCTCGCTAATCCAACTTCTTTCCCCAGGCTCACTGAGCCTGCTCCGGAACAAATCTGGTGTTTACTTCCTGAAGCACAGAATGTAGATCTTGTTCTCTGGAGCCAGGACGGGCTAACCAGAATCACGGGGCACAGGAAACCACTCAGGCAGCATCGGCTGCGGCCCCATGAGTGACCACACGGCCCGAGGCAGCCCACCTCCTCTCGGGTGGATGACTCAGCGTCACATGTCGAGCTGGGCACTATGAGACGCTCATGTTCGGGAGCTCTTAGAGAATTGGCCCTGTAATTTTCTTCTACAGTCCTTTCCTCTAAAAGGAAAAATAAACACCCAACCCTCAGTTACAAATTTTAATTAATTCCTGTTTTTCAAGAAAGACTGCTTTTTTCCAAGGCAGGCATAAGTAGAATGTTGTAAGAGATGCTCACGTCATGCATGCCCAACCAAGTCCTGATTATTGCTACTGAACAGGGTCTCCTTTCAACATTCTGAGATGCTGCACCGCTTATACATGACGTCCAGGGTTCACGTTAGCCCAGTTACTAGGGCCGTTGAAAAGATGCAATTTGCATTTCATCTCTACATCCTGCCTTTGCCTACTCTCTGCGGAAACTTGAATTGGGTGGTGAAAAGGTCAAAGGGGAAGACAGCAGAAAAAGACAGGTAATGAAGCAAATTGTTAGAACAAATACCAATGTCAGGCAATTACTATGTGCAGGGAACTGTAGATAAAAAAAGGATTAAGACACAGCCCTTACCCTTCCTGCTTCTGATCTGGTTCAGGATCAAGGTTCATAAGAAAGGCAAAGAGCAGCATACAGCACGACGTTGATGCCAGTGAAGTGATACAGTGGACTTCGCCATACAATTTGGAGGGCGCAACTGGCAGGCGCTCCGCCTGTCTGTGGTGCGTGACCAGCTGAGCAGGGGAGGGGCTGCGGTCCACCTGTACAGGGTGGTTAATGCCAGCAGAAACCAGGATAGAGGAATGAGTTACTTGCCATCTGTCAATTATGCTCCTTCCTTAGCTCCTGTGAACACACAGGAAATGGCTACAGGACTAGAAAAAAAAGTCAGATATCTATTTTTGAAGTGTTTAAGGCTACCTGAACACTTATCTGTTTTAGTTATTAGGATTCAGAATAAATGCTACGGTAGTGATCCTGCTCCTTGATCCTTTTCTTCACCTGGAGTGTTATACAAGTCCAAACAGGTATAAGGACACACAGAGCTCCCGGAGGTGAGAGGAGCGATCAGAACAGGAGTAAGAGAACAAGAATTCACGTCCAGGGAGTGCTTCCCGCAACCTGCCCAGCACAAAGGGCATCACTTGTGCCTGCTCACAGCCTCAGGCAAGCCGATTCCCCTGGCCATAGATGGCAGATTCATTTATTCATGACGAGGATGAGTCACCAGGCTGCATTATTATTTCACGGAGCTACGTTTCCATCAGTGAATTCTCCACAGCCAGCGCTGTGCCCGAGATCATCGAGTTGGATAGACTGGAGCTTTGTCCAGTGGAGGTGCTCCAGGTGCAGCCCGAGGCTCCTGTCTGCCTCTTGGGGAATCGCCTGTCACTCTCTGCCAGGCTCCAGGGCTCATCACTGGGCATTTGTCTCTCTTGACAAGGTGCCATTGTGGCAGAAGGAATGAGACTTGCGCTGACCTCCCCAGCCCTCGTTAGGTTCTGTCATTCACCAGAATACACACGTTTGTCTTTCTCTCCTGCTTGGCTAGCGCCAAGCCTGTCACCAATGTGAGCTCTTCAGCAAAGGAAGGCAGGCAGCTGAGTCAGGAGCCTACAGTACGAGAGACAAACAGCGCCTCATCGTCCCCAAGGAAAGGACTTCAGGGCACATCTCCAAATTTATAAAATTCCAGGTTTTTGCTCTTCATAATGGGAAAATCAGAATTACAAGTTCAACATCAAATGGAGGAAATGCCTGTGAATAAATATTTGGTGAAAAATACAACAGGAAACAATATAATCTACATACCACATGATCTTTTGTGTGCAAATACACGTGCATAAAAGAATATTGGAAGGAAATGCATCAAAACATTAGCTCTAGGTAACGAAAACAGGGAGGTTTTTTGTCTATTCTTTCCTGCATGCGTTGTTTTTACACTCAGAATAAACAATCCACGGTGTATTAGCTCAGGCTGCTATAACAAAATACCACAGGCTGAGGGGCTTTAACAACAGAAGTTTATTTCCTCACAGTTCTGGAGGTTGGAAGTCGCAGATCAAGGTGTCATCAGCAGGGCTGGTTTTCCTGAAGCCTCTCTTCTCAGCTTGCAGATGGCTGTCTTGCCCCTGTGTCCTCACGTGGTCTTTCCTCTGTGTGTGTCTGTGTCCTGATCTCCTCTTATTAGGACACCAGTCCTGTTGGATCAGGGCCCACCCTAACAACCTCATTTTAACTTAATCACCTCTTTAAAGACCCTGTCTCCTAATACAGTCGTGCATCGCTTAATGACGGGCTGAGAAATGCGTCGTTAGGCAATGTTGTCATTGTGCAAATGTCACAGAGTATACTTACACACACCTAGATGGCACAGCCTGCTACACACCTAGGCTCTATGGTACTAATCTTGTAGGACCACCGTCATATGCAGTGTGTCCTTGGCCAAAATGTCATTCTATGGCACATGACTGTACAGTCACATCCTGAGTGCTGGGGGTCAGGGCGTCAACATGTGAATTGTGGAGGGGACACAGCTCAGCCCACAATATATGGTGGTGTTAGAACTAAATCTCCACACGCCCGACCCACATCCAGATGCGGGAGGTGGGCAGAAGGAGGAGGACCCGTAACTGCCCCTGAGCCTGTGATCCCTGTCTCTACTCAGGAAAGGCCGAGGGGAATGGTAAGATGCACATCACCCTCTGTGACTTCATCGTGCCCTGGGATACTCTGAGCACCACCCAGAAGAAGAGCCTGAACCACAGGTACCAGATGGGCTGTGAGTGCAAGGTAAGCCCGTGCCACCTCCTTCAGGGCTTCACCTCATCACTGCTGCCTCCACGTGGACAGCCGGGGTTTGATCCGGGGCTTTCCAGGGCCTCTCAGTTCACGGGGTCCTTAGGACAGGGCTCTGGGGAGATGTGGCCTCCCCAGGAGTGAGGCTATTTGGCTGGGGACAGAGCCATTGGGCCCCGGTCCCTGCAGATCCCTGAGGCCCACCTCTGCTGAGGGATACTTGGGAGGTAAGGGGAATCGGGCTATGTGGCCTGTAGCTTCTAGAAGGGAAGCCTTCTAGGAGGAAGAATTTTGTGGGGAGGACATGGTCCTATGAGTCTTTTTCTACAAAGGTACAAGTGCAAGGACTTGAGTGTCTTGTGACGGCACGTCCCAGGTGTTACACTTCTGCCAACATTCTGGCCATTTCCATGCACGGGTCCTTGTAAGTGTGGGGTCTGTATGTCGAGAACGCCTGAAACACCAGCCCCCCTTCTTACAAGCGGCCCAGAGGTGGTGCCAAGCAGTTACGGAAGCGCTAACATTTCCATGCAGCCCTAGAAGGTGCGATCTCCTCCTCGGCTCCTTGGCTTGGATCCTGGTGTCTCCTAACCCCCTCCCATCCCCACTGCCCCTCCCTCTGGCCCTAGCACAGGAAGCACTGCTGGGGACCAGACGCCCCTCTGTGTCACCAGAAGTGATGCTGGGCCAAGCGTGGCGCTGTGGTGAGGCTGCAGGGTTTGGCCTGTGCCTGTCAGCACTATTTGTGCAGCCCTCCTGCCCGACCTGATAGAGTGTCACTAGCCTGTCCCCAAGCTCACTGGAACATGAATTCCAACCTACAGCTATGCGTAGATGTCGTGGATGTTGAGCAAACTCCTCTGTGCCCCATGTGAAATCAAAAGCACGTTCTTCCTTTTTTCTTTACATGGCTGTGAAGGTTTTTACCCTCTTGTAGACTCAGGTTTCTTCACCAAAATGCTGCTTGTTGATCCCCACAAAGCCCATGCATGCTTGAGAGCAAGACACCAGCCTTTTTATTTGACTTGAACCTATCTCCAGGAAATTTGACATCCTTTATTGTTGTTATGATACTCCCAGGAGGGCAGGGCTAAGCTGATGCCATTTTGTCATGCTCAGAGAAGGTAGACCAGATGGCCCACAGCAGAGGCTCCCTTGCAATAGCTGGGGACACAGAGGTTGTGTGCACAGGCTTCCCCCAGACCCCAGCCTCCTGGGGCAGGCTGCCTGCTGCTGTTTGGTGACTGTGGGACTCAGGAAAGGCTACTGATGGGGAGCAGGTTCAACTCAGGCCCAGCTCCCTCCCTCCCTGCTGGACTTACTAGTCATTCATTCAATACACTGCCCTTGAACGCCTTTGCCAGGTGCACTGCTAGGTTCTGGAGATGAGCGGCCACGGTCTCTGACTGCATTCCTCTCCGTGTCCCTCTTCCTAGATCACACGCTGCCCCATGATCCCATGTTACATCTCCTCTCCGGACGAGTGCCTCTGGATGGACTGGGTCACGGAGAAGAACATCAATGGGCACCAGGCCAAGTTCTTCGCCTGCATCAAGAGAAGTGATGGCTCCTGTGCGTGGTACCGCGGAGCGGCCCCCCCCAAGCAGGAGTTTCTCGACATCGAGGACCCATAAGTAGGCCAACAGGACCCCTGTGGCCAACTGAAATGCCTCCAAGAGTTTAGACTGGTCCAGCTCTGACATCCCTTCCTGGAAACAGCATGAATAAAACAGTCATCTAAGTGGGTCTAAATTAGTGTGATTCTCCTCCCCGCCCCCATTTTCCTTTTAAACATGGTTGTGGGTCTAGAGGGGAGGTGGGTCCCACATTCCATCCACCAGCCTGGGCACTGTGCATCTCAGTCTTCAAACCTGGGGTGTGGGGGATGGGGGACACAGGCTTCCCTCCCAGGCCCAGCCTTGACACTGTCACAGACGCTGAGCAGGCAGCACTTAGGGGTCCCCCCGACCTGGTCAGAGCAGAGCCTGGAAATGTGCATTTTGCAGAAACTTTTGAGGGTCGTTGCAAGACTGTGTAGCAGGCCTACCAGGTCCCTTTCATCTTGAGAGGGGCATGTCCCTCGTTTCCTGCAGCTTCCACACCTCTGGCCCCAGGGTGCAGTCCCTGCCCCTTGCAAGTGCACCCCCCCACCTCATCTCCCTTGGGCCCACCATGGACTCCTAGCCCCTGTGACTCCTGTAAGTCCAGGAGCAGCCCTGGACCGGTGGCTTGTTCTTGAAGGAGCCCCGATTCTATTAATTTGCAGAGTTCCAGCGGGAGCCCCCCTCCGGGGCCACGCAGAGATGGGGAGTGACAAGCTTCAGCTTTAGCCAAGTCATTTTAGCCCCATCCTCCCACCCTGCCCGCACACACCCCAAAGATTGGGGGGAGTCCATGACATTCTGCCCTGAGGGCAGACGTTTGGGGGGCACTTGGCTGCCCTTGTTTATTCCTGAGCTTCTGAAATCACTCGAGCTTCCTCCTCATTCTGGCCCCTGGCATCTGGATGGAGTTGCACGGTTGGCTTTGCACGGGGTTGTGTGTGGCAGTGGCGTGAGCTGGCTGTGCTCTCTGTTTGCACATTCTGAGGACAGCAGAAGCTGGGTCCCACTGTGTCCCCCAACACACCTCGGAGCCCCACCTGAGCAGGTGCCGCAGGTTTAGCATGGCCTCCCTCCAGGGCTGTCAGGCACTGTGCTGTACCTGGATTTCCGCGAGTGAGGCGAGCTAAGCGTATCATGTAGTCCTACCTGGGAAAAGATGAATTTGGGAGATAGGTGGCTTCAGTGAAACTCGCATTTCTTTCTGGGCCTCCAAGACACTGTGGCCAACTTTGAGACATCTCATTTTTCTAAAGATGAATTCTCCCCAAGTTGCAGGTATACCAGCCTCTGCTTTTATTTTCTTACATTACAAAGATCTCTCAGTTAATAAACTTCATAGGGAAACTTTTCCGTAAAAATAGTTTTCTGATGCCAGTAAAATGGGGGTTAATGTAGGCAGAAATTTCTCAATAACAGTAAAGATAATCTCCTTTTTCTTCCTACTTTGTTGTAAAGATAAACTGTTCCATCACGCACGTTATGCAGACATACATATATGCACATGTGCACACACACACACACACAATGAAACTGAAGTCTGTCAGCCTGCGAGTGGTCCTTCTGCAAAATGCTTCCAAAGTCACCATCTTCTAAGCCTGCTCTATTCTTTCGTGACCCCAAAGCACCTGTAAGACTCCTGACCCCCAAGTGGCACGCAGCCCCATGCCCGCCCGGGACCTGGTCAGCGTAGATTTTGATGACTTCCCTTTCTAGGGCAGACTAGGAGAATATCCAGAAACCAGCCCCTGCTCCAAGGGCACTTTCATGCTGTACAGTGTTGTAAAGCTCGTAAGATGTCATAATGGACCAGTCCATGTGATTTCAGTATATACAAGAGCACCAGACCCCTCCAATCAATATAACACCCCACCCCCATTTGCTTCCTGTACGGTGTTATCATATGTAACATTTACTCCTGTTTCTGCTGACGTTTTTAATGTTTTGGTTTGTTTCTGACATCGGTTGTAATCATTCCTGTGCTGTGTCTTTTATTACCCTTGGTAGGTGTTAGACTTGCACTTTTTTTTTTTAAGGTCTCTGCATCGTGGAAGCATTTGACCCAGAGTGGAGAGCATGGCATGTAGCTAGCCTATGAGGGTGGATTCCTTCAGATCTTTTCTTCAGTTCTTTGAATATTGTTGCTTTTCCATCTCCCATCTTTTGTTCTCTGGTTCAAATTATTACAAAGTCAAGGATCTTTGAGTAGGTTGGTTCTAAAAGATGGCCTTTATATTCAATCCACACACATTGGTCTTGTAGCCATGCTGAGGAGGAAAAAACAAAAAAATCAAGAAGTACCACCCAGTGGCAGCCGACAGAAGCAGCCACTCAAATACCTTCACGGTAAATAATTGCAGTATATATATAGTTTAAGAAGGCTCTCCATTTGGCATTAATTTATGTTATATTCTCAACTGCTCTTTGCTCCCTCTCTTCATGCAAGCAAAATATTTAAAATAAAGTTTACATTGTAGTTATTTTCAAATCTTTGCTTGATAAGTATTAAGAAATATCAGACTTGCTGCCGTAATTTAAAGCTTTGTTGATTTTGTTTTTATTTGGATTTTTTTTGTTTTTTTTAACTTTCGGGCAATGTGTTTTTGCTGGAATATGACATCTGAGACCTCCCTGTGCTGGGAACACGTGAGAGTTGTTGAAAGTTGACAAGCAGACTGCGCATGTCTCCGATGCTTTGTATCATTCTTGAGTGATCGCTCGGTCAGTGGACAATAAACAGTATTATCAAAGAGAACCTGGCTCTCCGTGTGCTTGTAGCCGATGTTCAGAGCTGCCGATCTCTAGCTGAAGGAGGGGGAGTGGGAGGTGGGGGTGGGTCGCTTTGTCCCCTTGGGAACCGAGGCCTGGGTGATGGAGGCCTACATGGGATGTGGCAGAAACTGGGGCAGACGACTGTGAACGTGGTTTTGTTAAATTGGCGAAGAGGCAGGAGCACAGGACAGGGGCCCCTTCATTCATTCAGCACATACATCTGTCTCCCTTTCCATTATGGAGCCTTTCCAACACACACACACACACACACACACAGAAAAGCAGAGCCCTGTACCCATCTTGCATCTTCGACAGCAATTCATGGTCTTCTTCCTTCTCTGCCCGAAGCCACTCCCCAACCACCCTGCCTGAGATTATCAGGAAGGGAAAAATCCAGCCATCAAACAGGTTCATCTGTAAATGTTTCAGTACAGATCTCTAAAAAATAAGAATGATTTAAAAAACATTTCCAAAATGCTTTTGTCACACCTTAAAAACTTAATTAGAATCCATTAATGTGGGCCGGCCCCATGGCTTAGCAGTTAAGTGTGCGCGCTCCACTGCTGGTGGCCCGGGTTCGGATCCCGGGTACTCACCGAGGCACTGCTTGTCCGGCCATGCTGAGGCTGCGTCCCACATACAGCAACTAGAAGGATGTGCAACTATGACATACAACTATCTACTGGGGCTTTGGGGGAAAAAATAAATAAATAAAATTATAAAAAAAAAATCCATTAATGTCATTGAACATGTAATCACTGTTAAGGCATCTCTGATGGTCTCATAAATGCTTTTTTATGGTTTATTGGTTTGAATCAGGATCCAAATAAGGTCCATACATTGCAGTGGCTCCCTCAAGTCTCTTATTCTACAGGATCCCCCCACCTTTCTCTGCCTTCCTCCCTCCTCTCCCCCTTCCTTTCTCCTATGCTGGGAAAGATGGTCCCATCATAATTTAAACTGTATCCAAGTCTCATATTACTTCAAGTCATCACATGAAAATTCTTTAATAGTGTATTTGAACACTTGCCCGACCTCTGGCCCACATGTAGAATTTCTTATTCCAGGGACAAGCCGGAAGATCCATATTTCCCATTTTGTGCAGCTGGCACTACTCAGCAGGAACAAACTTACTGATGCCGTTCTGAAGCAGGAAGGAGGTAGTGGGACAAAGTTTGCACCTGAAGGCTGTCACAAAACATTAAATGCCATCCCTTTAATATCACCTTCTGCAGAAATATCTGTATTATTTTTTCCATATGGTGACATCTATGGGGAAGATGGTTCAGCGGCATATAGAGTAAGAATACAAAAGCTTCCCGTGTCCTACAAAGGACCTGACTTGGCATTTGTGCCCGTCCTGATCTGTAGGTCACAGTTGGGGTTTTAGCAAACAACACACCACACAATTGCTACCCATTTCATTTATTTTATGTATTTAGGTCAAATGTGACATTTTAAAAACACTTCTCTGTATGGGAATTTTCAAACGTATACAAAAATGCAGAGAATGATATAATAAACTCCATGCACCCATGATCCAGTTTCAACAGTTATCCACATTTTCTTGATTTTTGCAAACAATTTTAAGCCAGTTTGAAGACTTACATATGGGGTAACCAGATTGTTAGGGATTTTACCAGCCGCCATTTTTCCCTTCAGCTTGCTCATTCTGTGAAAGGAAAGAGAACAGGGACAACTGAGGGCAACCACATGTGGGTTCAAAATGGAAAGGCAGCCACAGACACTGCAGGAGCCCATGGGAGGTGGGGGCGGGGGGTGGGGAAGAGCTACCAGGACTGGTTAAAATACTTTAGAAGTTTGAGTGGCACCTAATTATTGACGGATATGTTTGCCTGATCTAACTTAAAGAAAAATCTAAACAGTGGAGTTACAGGTATTTTACTAGGATCAATTTTATTACGGGCAATTTGCTGTTACCATAGGTTTTGCATGAAGACTCAAGTTCATGAACAGGTCTTTGTCTAGCCGAGGTTCAAGGTGACCCACAGCTCACCTTGTCGCACACACTTGCCTCGAATCATCTTGCAGTGAAAGGCGGTGCTTTGATTTGGGGGAAGCAGTTAGCTCTAATAGCAGATTTTCTCCTCCGAGAAACAAATTGATGGTTGAAAAAAAAGACATTCAGAAACATGAGATAACTGCCCATTTTCATTCTGTAACAACAGGGAGGAATATTCCTTCCAACTAAACGAAACAAAAACATGAGACAGATCCAGTTGGAGTCTGCAGAATGGTGGGGTGTCATCAGGTGGGGATCAGAATCAGAGAAAGGGCAAGTGTCAAGGAGGATTTGAGGATGGGATCCAAGATGGGGTGTAGCGCTGCATACATTACCTAGACATAAAGAAAGCTGAA